AACAAACATTAACAGACATGAAAAATCATATAATCACTAATACAGTTGTAATGGGGGACCTTGGTATCCCACCATCACATATAGACAGATCAACTAGACAAAAAAATTAACAATAAAATATTAGAATTGGGGGGATTTAGCTCAGTGGTTTCACCACCTGCCTTAAAAGTGCAAGGTCCTAAGTTCAATCCCCAGTACCAAAAGAGAGAACTGAATCTAATTTATCAACAAATGGACTTAGTGGATGTGTACAGAGTGTTCCACTCCACAATATCAGAATACATTCTTCTCAGAGGCATACAAGACATTCTCCAAAACAGACCATACAATAAGGTTCAAATGGTATAACTGAGAGCGTGAAATAGGAAGAAAATGGCTACAGGGGAAGTAGGAAGGGGAGGGGAAAGGAAATAAGGGAAAAGAAAAAATGTGAAAAGAAGGAAAAAATGGAAACAAAGTCTTTGTAAAAAGGGAAGGATGAAGGGGGAGAAGGGAGGGCAGGGGTATGGGGAATAAATAAGAACCAAGATATATCATGTAAAGGTACAAGATCCCAATGATAAATGTAACTATTGTTTGCTTTAAATGTACCAATAAACTTAATGGGAAAAAAAATTTTGATATGAAAACAAAAAACAGAAAACAGACCATATACTAGCTAGCATACAGAACAAGCCTAAGTAAATGCAAACTAATTGAAAGTATCCAATGTATATTATCAGATTATAATGCAATGAAATTTAAATCAATGGCAAAAAAAAAACCCCACAAGAATTTCATAAACACATGGAAATTAAGTAATACCCCGCTGAACAACCAATGGGTCACACATGAAATTAAAGAAACTGGACAATTTCTTCAATTAAACAATAATGACAATACAACATACCAAAACTGATGGGACACAATGAAAGCAGTCCTACAAGGGAAATTTATACTGGTGAATTCCCATATCAGGAAAACAGAATGGGCTTACATAAACAACCTAATGTTGAACCTCAAGCTTCTAGAAAAAGAAGAGCAAGTCAAGCCCAAAGCTCTTACAAGGGAGGAAATTATAAATATCAGAGTAGAAATTAATGCAATGGAGACTAAGATAACAATACAAAGAATCAATGAATCAAAGAGTTGGTTGTTTGAAAAGTTAAATAAAATTGACAAACACTTAGCCAACCTTATCAGAAAAAGAAAAGACTCAAACCCAGGCAATTAGGAATGAAAAGGGAGAAATCACAACAGATCCTGCAGAGATCCAGAAGATCATCAGTATCTACTTTGAGAATCTGTATTCTAATAAGACGGAAAAAAAGAGAAGAAATGGACAGATTCAGAGATACATACGAATTACCAAAACTGAATCAAGAAGATATAGAGAATTTTTTTGTATTTTTTTCAGCTTTAATTGAGTTTATTGGTACATTTTAGGGATACAGTACAGTCACATTCATTGTTGGGATCTTGTACCTCTACATGACAGGTCCTGGTTCTCATTTTTTCCCCTTGTCCCTGCCCTCCCTTCACCCCCTCCTCCCCTTCCCATCTACAAGCACTTTATTTCCATCTTTTCTTTATCTCACATTTTTTTCTTTTCCCTTATTACCCTTCCCCTATCCATCCCACCTTCCCTACACCTTTAGCCCCTTTCTTCCCATTTCACCAAGAAGATATAGAAATTTTAAATAAACCAGTATCAGTCAATGAAATTGAAAATGTAATTTAAAAAACAGCAACAAAGAAAAGCCCTGACCCTGAAGGATTCACTGCTGAATTCTACAAGAAATTTAGAGAAGACCTAACACCAATATTACTCAAATTCTTCAATGAAATTGAAAGGAAAGCAATACTTCCAAATTCATTCCTGGAAGCAAGCATTAGCCTCATTCCAAAACTAGAGAAGGATATAACCTAAAAGGATAATAACAGGTCAGTCTTCCTAACGAACATAGATGCAAAAATCCTCAATAAAATACTGGACAAACATAATTCAGCAAATCATCAAAAAGGTTATATACCATGACCAAGCTGGATTCATCCCAGGGATACAGGAATGGTTTAATATATGCAAATCAATAAATGTAAAACATGATATTAACAGTCAAGGACAAAAACTATGATTCTCTCAAGAGATGCAGAAAAAGATTTTGAAAAGGTCCTACACCCATTCATGATAAAAACCATACAAACAATTGATATAGATGGTCTTTATCTCAATCTGATAAAAGCCACTTATGACAAACCAACAGCCAACATCATACTATGGACAAAAACTGAAAGCTTTCATTGTAAAATCAGGAACAAGACAAGGATGTCCACTGTCACCACTCTTGTTCAATATAGTTCTGGAAACATTAGCCACAGAAATTAGACAAAAGAAAGAAAGAAAAGGAATAAGGATAGGAAAGGAAGAATTTAAATTATCATTTACGGATGAGATGAAACTCTACATAGAAGACCCCAAAATAACAACCAAAAGACTTTTAGATTTGATAAGCAAATTTAGTGGCATAGCTAGATACAAAGTTGACACTAAAAAATCAACTGCTTTCCTGTACACAAATAAGACTCATGGAGAGAGAAATCAGAGAAACAATCCCTTTCACAAAATCATCCCCCGCAAAAGAAATATCTAGGAATCAGTCTAATGAAGGAAGTAAAAGACCTCTACATTGAAAACTACAGTACTGTGAAAAAGAAGATTGAAGAGGAGATCAGAAAACAGAAAGATATCACTTGTTCTTGGATAGGAAGAACCAATATAGTGAAAATGGCCATACTTCCAAAATTGTTATAGATTCAATGCAACCCCAATCAAAACACCAACACAGTATCTCTCAGAATTAAAAAAAAAAAAAAAAAAATCCCAAAATACATTGGGAACCAGAAGAGGCCTAGAATAGCAAAGGCAATTGTGGGCAACAAAGACAAGGCAGGAGGTATCACAATCCCTGACTTTAAATTATACTACAAATACTGTGACAAAACTAGCATAGTACTGGCAAAAGAACAGACTTGAGAATCAATGGAACAGACTAGAAGATGCAGAAACAACTCCAAACACACTCAGCCACCTTATCTTTGACAAAGGAGCCAAACACCTTCAATGGAATATAGTCTCTTTAATAAATGGTGCTGGAAAAACTGGCTTTCCACATGCCAAAGATTGAAACTAGACCTGTATCTTTCATTGTGCACTAACCTAAAATCTAAATGAATCCAGGAAATAAATATTAAAATAGAGGCCCTGAATCTGTTAAAAGAGAGAATAGGTAGAATGCTTGAAGATATAGGAGTAGGCAAAGACTTCATGAACAAAACCCAGACCACAGGGAAATAATACAAAGAATCAACAACTGGGACCTCAACTAATTAAAAAACTTGCACAGCAAGAGAAACTGCAAGCAGATTAAAGAAACAATCCAGAGTGGGAAAATTCTTTTTACCAGCTATTCAGAAAAAGGACTATTATCTAGAATATATAACGAACTAAAAAAAAAAAATTAGACCCCCGAAATTTAAAGACCCATTGCAAAAATGGGCATCTGAAATAAAGACACTTCTCAGATAAACAATTAGAAATGGCAAATAAAAATATAAAGAAATGTTCAACATCACTGATCATTTCAAGAAATGCAAATCAAAACAACGCTGACATTCCATTTCACTCCAGAAAAAATGGCTGCTATCAATAAATCAACCAATAACAAATGCTGGTGGGGCTCCAGGGGGTGTGGGTGGGGAAAGGAACTCTTCTCCACTGCTGGTGGGAGTATACAATGGTGCAATCACTGTGGAAATCAGTATGAAGATTTCTCAAAAAACTAAAACTAGAGGTTCCTTTCAACCCAGCTATTCCTCCTAGTATCTTCCCAAAATAATTAAAAGCATCCTACCACAGCAATATATGCCCACCCATGTTTACAGCAGCATAATTTGTAATAGCTAAATCTTGGGAAAAGCCCAAATGCCCATCAACTGACAAGTGGATAAAGAAGACATAGTCTTTTATACAATGGTGTACAACTCTGCCACATAGAAGGATGAGCTTGAGACATTTACAGCTAAATGGATGCATCTTGAGCCTACACTCTTAAGTAAAATAAATTAGACACTCATGTTTAAACACCACATTGCTTCTCTGGTGTGAGGAACCCAAAGTGGAAATAAGGGATAAAATGTATAACATTGGGAAATGGGAAGAAAGTGTTCCAATGGGAAGGGAAATAAGGGAGGAGGAAGGGAGAAAGGAAGGACAAGAAAAAAGTGAAAATAGAAGGAAAAAATAGAAAGCTTTTGTACATTGGGAGAGAAGGAGGTTGGGGGGGTGATGTGATAAAATTTATTTTAAAAAATATATATACATATACATGTGTGTGTATCTGCATTTTCCACCCCAACCCAAATAAGCCCTTCATCCAGAGCATGCCAAAAAGATTAATTTTATTGTCATATTTCAGCCATGTTGTTTTGCAACATTTTCCCCCCACTTAAATGAAACATTTAAGGACCTTAAGGACCATTCCTGTCTTCAATAAGCCACCTCTCTTGTGAAGTAGTGACGCTCTTCCACCTGACACATAATTACATATCATCTTACATTATTATATTTTCCCATACAACATTTTTGTCTTTCACCAGGATGGGAAAGGTACTTCTGTGATAACATTCTCAAGTGCTACACACACACACAAACACACACAAAGAGAGATGGAATGTCACATCCTTAAGAGCCTCAAAAGGTTTCTTTTACAAGACTTACTTCTGTGATAACATTCTCAAGTACTACACACACACACACACACACACACACACACATACACACACACACAAGAGAGAGAGATGGAATATCACATCCTTAAGAGCCTCAAAAGGTTTCTTTTACAAGACTTACTCCTGTCTCTCACTTTAAGAGACACAATGTTAACCACACAAACTTACAAAAATGTATCAGCAAATCAAAACTGTAGCGGAAACCAAAAGAGATTACCCTAATGACAACTTACAGAATAAAAGCGGTGTCAATCCACCTAAAATACATACTCATTCACCACCCACAAACCCCTAGATGGTCTTCAAAGGTTCAGCAATACACAGAAGTGCAATAGAAAACATACAGATTATTATGTAAGCTAATTCCAGAAGGCGGAAAAGTTCTAGTCAACTGCTGGGAATCTAAATCAGGCTGGAAGTAGCCTAACAAATAATTTACTCCAGTAACCCTAGAGAACTAGAGTAACCTCAGAAACAAGAGAAGCAGGGCTGTGATTACATTTGCTCTTCAAACTCTTGAAAGAGAAAGAATGAAGAACTCACTCATCTAAGCATTTTATTTACACCTTCTTACTTATCCTTACAAGGATTCTATGGAGAAAGTAGTACTATTATGCCCATTTTACAAAAAAAGAAAACAGACTAGGGATGTAGTTCAGTGATAAGAGCACTTCCCTAGAACAACCAAGGCGCTGGTTCTATCCCTAGTAACACGAACACACACACACACGTTATAAAATTTAACTTAGTAAATTACTTGATTCTAAGAACACTCAGATGTTTATTAGAAATTTACAGCAACACGAAAGTGTTTAGTTTTGACAATTATATTCCTTTCAGTTCAAATTTAACATCGATATTTGTATAGTGTATATACTTTTCTATATGTATTATACATATACATTTATTAAAAATACAACTAGTAGTTTTTAGACCCAACCAAAATCCACAGCCATATTAATGCTTCTCTAGCAAGCATATCTGAGTATATCATTCCTTATAAAAGGCCACTACATTACTGTTACTAAACTTTATGACCTTTGGCTAACCATTTGTATTGAAAACCATTTGTATACAAAAACTAGATTTTACATTAAAATAAGAATTAAAAATGAAAAACACTTCAGTCATAAAAGAGTACAGTACAGCTGATTTACTTTTACAGAGAATATCTGCAACATACTAGCATAGGAAAAAAGAGATTGATAAATCCGACTAAATATATAAGGCACAGTAAAACTTATTTCATCAATTTTCAACATAAACATTTTCATGTTTGCAGTTAAAATGCCTCTTGAAATCAAGAGTGTCATATTTTTAATTCTTTAATGTATATAATACAATAAAGTAACAGTCAGGCGTGGTGGTCATGCCTATAATCTCAGCACTTTGGGAGGCTGCAGGCAAAGGATCACAAGTTTGAATCCAGCAACTCAGCAAGATCCTATTTTAAAATAAAAATAAAGAGGGCTGGGAATGGAGCTCAGTGGTAGAAAGTATTGGAAAAAAAATTAATAATGTAGCTGACAAATGAAGACATTAATAAAATACAGTAAATTAGGTGACAAAAGATAAAATAGGGTGAATTACATAAAATAAGCCAAAAAGCTAATATTTTTAATTCATAAAGGATTGTGACATATTCATGTGAATCAGCATTAATGATTTCATAAGTTGGGGGTTAAGCATATCATTTCTTATATGCTTTGTGTATATGTATTTCATCAAAAGATTTCAATAACTAAGCTAAAGGAGAATGAGTAAAGAATGTGCAAAAGGGGCCAGCTGTGGTAGCTCACGCCTGTAATCCCAGCAGATGGGAGGCTGAGACAGGAGGATGCTGCAAGTTCAAGGCCAACCTGGGCTACACAGTGAGTTCAAGCCAGCCTAAACTGTATGGCAAGACCCTATCTCAGAAAAAAGAATCAAGATATCTTATGTATGGGTACAAATTCCCTGTGATGAATGTGATCATTATGTGTATCAAGAATGTACCAGAGCTGGGATTTAGCTCAGTGGTTCCGCCACCTGCCTTGCAAGCACAAGGATCTGAGTTCGATCCCTGGTACCAAAAAAAATAATAATGTTAAGAAGAAGAATGTACTGATTAATTTTAAAAATAAAAGACTGAGAAATGATAACCTAATTCACTGACAAAACAGTACCAAAAATGAGACTACTGATAAAGAACTCATGAAAACAGTCCCATTTACAATAGCTACAAAAATAAAATATCTAGAAATAATTTTAGGGAAGTAAAAGATCTGTGGAACAAAAATTTCAAAACACTAATGAAGGCAACACACACACACAAATGGAAAGACCTACCATGTTCATGGATTTGGAAAATATTGCTAATATGTCCACACTACCCAAAGTGATTTACAGATCAATGTAATCCCTATCAAAATAGCAATGACATCCTTCAAAGAACTAAACAATCCCAAAATTAATGTAGAAAAAATCCTGAATAGCCAAAGCAATCTTGAGCAAAAAGAAGAGAGATGATGTTATCACAGTATATGGTTTCAATAAATACTACAGAGCCATAGCAACCAAAACAGCATTATACTGTCATAAAAAACAAATCAATCGAACAGGATAAAGATCCCCAAATAAGCTCACAGGTCTACAGCCAACTGATTCTTGACAAGCACAGCAAAATTTACACTGGAGAAAAAAAGTCTTCAATAAACAGTATCGGGAAAACTGGATATTAAGAAAAAAATGTAACCTCTCTCATCCTGCACAAAAACCAACTCAAAATGGACCAAAGAGCTAAATGTAGGACCTGAAACTACTACAAGAAAACATAGGCAAAACACTTCAAGACACTAGTGTTTTAGTTACTTTTCTCATTGCTGAGACAAAATACTCAACACCAATAAGTTAAAGGAGAAAGGGTTTGCTCAGCTCAATTTTGTAGAGGTTTCAGTCTGTAATTGCCTGGCTCCAAGGTAGGATGGCATGGCAGAGGGGCATCGTGAAAATTAGTCCATGGCAAGCAGGCAGGAGACAGCAAAGCCGCAAGCAAGGAGTAGCAGCAGAAGAAATAGCAGGCTGATTCCTTTCCGTCCCTTTTATATTCTATCCAGGCTGCCAGCTTACTGGGTAGCAGCTCTCACACCCTCTGAGGGGCACCCTTAATCCCAGCATCACACCCAATCCACATTTATACATCCTAATGCAGTCTTCAAAACTCCCCATCTATGACTGCATGGGGCTTTGGAGGGACATCGAGATATAAGGGAGGTCTCCACTGCACCTTTGTCTTCACACACTGCCTAGCCTCCCAGGCCTTCTTGTGAAATCCTGGTAGAAGCCTTTCTAACCCCACAACTCTTGCATTCTGCATGCTCCTAGAACAAGCACCACATGGATGACACCAAGGTCTGCTGCGAGATGCAGCAGTTGCAAGGTTTCCTCCTCTTGGCTGCAGGGGTTCAGGTGCCTGGACTACTGAGTGCTGTCAGTCCAGTCCTGAGCCACTGCCATTCTGGAACATGGTGCTCTTTTTTGTTTTGGTACTAGGGATCAAACTCAGGGGGACCTCACACTTGCCAGGCAGGCACAATGCCACTGAGCTAAATCCCTGGCCCAGGGGCTCTCTTCTTTTTTTGGGGGGGTGGGTCTCTCTTCTTAAAATGAAGTCTTTCACCTTTGCAATTTTAAGGCTCCAAAGGGTGGAATCCTGCTGGTTCTTATGACACCCTCAGGCCATCTTTTCTATTGTCCTGTTCCTTCTCTGCAACCAAGTTTTCCTCTGCTCTATCTTTGCAGTCAGCTTTACTGGAGCTTCCTTTCTGGCCAAACTCAAAAAGCCACTTAAAATCATTCTGCTGGGCTCGTTGCTCTTCTCAACATAGATCTGGCTAAAAGCCCCCTATTGTGGTCATGACAGCAAATCAAAATTAGACTGCCTTAGAATTTCTTCTGCAAGATTCATTACTCTGCTCCATTTAATCTCAGTCTCAGGCAAAGTATCAGGATATGCACAAAATGCAGACAAACTTTTTGCCATGGCATAGCACACATGGTCTGGAGTCTAATAGCCAGTGCAGTCCTTCCTAACCTGGTCTTTACAAGTTGCATTTCTATTCTGCTCTTCTGAACTCTGACCAGAATCTCCCATCAAATATAGCTTAAAGTATTCCAGGGGTGCTTTACCAGCTGGCTTTTCCAAATTCTTTCCACAAGCCAAAGTTACAAAGGTTCCTGAACCACACGGTCAGGTAGTGCCACAACAATGATCCCACTTCTCTAGTACCAAAATCTGTCCTGGTTAGTTTTCTCATTGCTAAGACAAAATAGCCAATAGCCACAAGCTAAAGGAGGAAAGGTTTGTTTTGCTCAGTTTGTAGAGGTTTCAATCCATACCTGGCTGACTTCAAGGCAGGGTGGCCAGGATGAGGCACCTTTAATCCCAACATCACACCCTTCTTCCATATTTACACACCCTAATCCAGCACCTTTGAAACTCCCACCTAATGAGGCTTTGAGGGACACCCAGATACAAGCCATAACAACCAGTATAGAAATGGTTTTTAAAATATGAACCCAAAAGCAAAAACTGAGATTACCATCAAACCTAAAAACTGTGAAGAGACAAACTACGGGGTGGGAGAAAATACGTGCTACCATTTATCTGAGAAAGGATTAATATCCAAAGCTTATTAAGGATCTCAAAAACAAACAAACAAACACACAACAAAAAACCCTTGAAAAACGGGCAAATATTATAAATAGACACTTCTACAAAGAAGAAATATATACAGCCAAGAAGTCTATGAAAAACAAGTTCAATAACATTAGGCGTCAGTGAAATACAAGTCAAAACTACAATGAGACACTCACCCCAGTTAGAATGACAATTATTAAAAAAAAAAACACAAAAAAAAAAACAAAAAAAACCCAGTAATAAATGTGGGCAAGGATATCAAGAAAAAGGAATGCTCACATACTGTTATAGTGAGAATGCAAATAAGTATAACCATTATGGAGAGCAATACAGAAATTTGTTATGGCTTGTGTTTAGTCCCTTCCAAAGACATGAGCTCTTTTCAAAGGTGGCTGAATCTAACTCAACTGCAATGCTAAACACAGGGCACTAGGATTAAGGGTGTGAGTGCTACCTGCCCTTAGTAATCTGAATGAGACAGAGACAAGAAGCTGCGAAGGTCTCTGGTTGCTTTTGCGGTCTTCCTCTGCCATGGACTGTTGCCCCTCTGCCACCCTGCCTTGCAGCTGAAGATTATGGACTGAAACCTCTATGAACTATAAGGCAAATGAACCTTTCCCACTTTAAGTGTTCAGTATTTTGTCTCA